TTTAAGAAATATCAAAATTGTTGTTTTTCATTTTGTTATTATGAAATTGGTTCAATCGAATAACTAAAATCCGTACGATAAAAGTAATACTAAACACAATATTATTTAAATAGTATACAGAGAAAATAATTAGTGGTAGTATTTCATTTTATCTTATCTGTCTTCAATGTATCTCATTCATTTATTCAAGAGGACTGCACAACTATCCATAACAAGAAAGAAATTTGCACTCGAAGTTTTTGTGATATTTATGTGCTTTGCTATCGTAAAATAGAATAAAACATTCATTGTAGACTAATCACTGGTGAAAAAGTTTTTTTAAGCCAAGAATCACGAGTTCGAAACTTATAACACATGCTGTTTTTTCATTTTTTAAACTTTTAATAGTTTTAAACCTTAATAAAAGAATTAATATAAACAAATTTTCTTTATTCATTAAACTTTTAAATACATTAAACTAGATATATTTATTTATAATAAAATTATTTACATTTTATTATTATGAAGTTTTAAAACAATTTGTGTTTAAACGAATTTTAACAAAAAATAAAAAACTGATAAAAAAAATATTTCGTTTCAATTTTCAAACAATTCTTAGAACATTTTTCATTCACATATACCTTTTTCTTTATTTTAAAGGGACGCGTGTTTTAGTTTTATATAATCATTACCTTTAGTATTTTCTACAATTATGAAAATTTCGGACGACAACAATATTTTGGAAGTTATACTAACAATTTTACTTATTAACCTGACTAAATAGCAGTCGAGATTGTCTATCGTCTGTGACTATTTACAAAGTACTACTTCTTTTTAAAACAGATAATGCAAAAGAGTGAAATTTATAGGTCATGTACTTTTTATTACTTCTCATTTTAATAAGATTGAAAATTTATATACACCTACTTATTGTGCAATCATTTCAACGTTTTAAATAATCTGCTTAAATTAATATTTTTTCGATAACTTAATAAATTATATTGATTATACTGTTTACATAGGGAGAGAACCATTATTGAATGATTTTATAAAAAACCAAATTTCAATTTTATGTATATATTATAATATAATTAATAGGATATACTTTCGAATGAACCCCATCGAGTTGAGTGCTAAAATTTTGTGTGCGTATACAACTTTTCATGAGAATTCTATATCTGTTTTCAGAATCAACGAGTCTCTGATGGTTCGTGATATATTCGTATTTTAATGTTTGAATTGCTTATATAATTGTTCATGGAAACACTAATGCGAAAGTAAAATACATATATCAAAACCTGACCTAACTGAACCTAATTTAATCTAACATAACCTACCATAACCTAACGTCATTAACACGCTGAGCGCGACGCCGCGCCGATTTGCTATGCTTTACGCTTAGCCAGCAGCAGGCGAATACTTGACGGCGCGAGTGCGATATTTGTGATGGGGAGGATAAACAGAGGATTATTTTGTTTTGCTTTATTATGTTTCTTTTTAACTAAAACAATGATGCCACTACAAGTAGAACTGTATACATACTTCAAAAGACAGGAGGAAAGGTGCATAAATGGTGCTCAACGTGTTAATATTGGAATTAACTTGAAATGTGAATATCTCGCGAATGGTAAGAGACCCGTTGATTCTGAAAGCGGATATGGAATTCTTGTGAAAAGTTGTGTATGCACACAAAATTCCAGCACTCAACTGGATGGGGGTCATTCGGAAGTACGACCAATTAATATATTAAACCGTTGTAAAAATATTAATTCAATGTACACATAAAGAGGAATTATTTCATTAATCTTTATATAAAACGGCTTAGCCGTTTCCAGTTGGCAATTATGTGAGAAGATAGCAAGGTACACCTCTACACGTATCAAAATGTTCATCTATGGCCACAGGTGTGCAAGTTTGTGTCATTTTTTTGATATCCACTATCACTGATGAACAAGGTGATGTCAAAGATGGCATATTATGTTAAAAAAGAAACTTAAAATATCTTAGAAATTATCATTTCTTTACCATTATACCCTAATACTTTTTTATTCAGAATATTTCAAAGAATCGATTTATCTAAGAAAAACTATATAGTTCCATTTAAAAAATTATGGGTCATTTTCGTTCTTCCAAAAATATTGCAAATATAAAAAAAGTGCACACACTATTATATCAGCAATAAAGAGCAATAAAACTTTTTCCTCTTTCATTTTGTTAAGACACTTATTATTAATGAGAAAAACGTTTAATAGTAACGAGATACCACCTCTGTCTGTCGAAATTCCAGACATAAAATTTTTGGTCAAACTTTCGGAACCAATTCCAAATTATCAAATCAAGACACATGACAACCGATTTGAAATTGAGACAGGATCGTTTAAAGTTACTTCTCACACTCAAACCATCAATGACAAAGAACAGCAGTGGCTAGATAATTGTGTGAAAGGCAATTCGATTTCCAATTTCGATAACTTTATCATTCCTCGCATTGATAAACAATAAACTCACTTTACTCGCGTAGCGAGTATACACTGCTAGTTAATACAATCCGTCAAAATATTATTAAATTACTAGAACGTTTATATTTGTATATTTTCTATCATAAAAATATTATGTGATATTAAAGCCATTTATTTTATGCCTATTAATACTTCACGTTTAATTACAGAAATGAAAGATATCACATTAATATGTTATTTAAACTAATTTAAAGCATCATTCGATGCTTCATGTTAAATAGAATAAGAAGGATTAATGTAAAAGGAAAAAATAGTCATCAATTATATATAAAAAGTAGCCTCTGATAAGCCTTTTATCTAAAGATTAATGCTTTTAATCAGTATTACAGTTTTGAATTTCGAAAGTGTACACGCATGAAATGTGAAGGCCGTTATACGTATTTATGTATATCAATGATGACTATACATCGCAGAATACTTGAGAGAAAAAATAATTCTTTCGGTCGTATTTTCTTCTATAAGGTGAGCTTAAAAAAGCCTTATAACAAATTATTAATATTTAATTTAAATTCAAATTATTGGTACAATAGCGATGGACATTAAAAAAAACTATTTATCCATAATAAATTTGGAAAATATTACAACTCAAAATTAAATGTTTTATTTCTTTATTCATAATTAAGGTTAGTCGGACAACAAATCCGACCATCACAACGAGGTACAACATCCTCAATTTACGCTTTAAGGGTAAATTTAAAGAGGTATCTCTCATTATCTACGCAGATATAACTGCATAGTTAGAACTTCACACGATATCAAAGAAAAACACACTAATTCACCATTCATTCATTCGTATAATCACACGTTCACCGGAATTATTGGTCTAACTCAACATTTGCAGTTAACTTATTAACGTTTGTACACTGCGTATAGGTAGCACACACGTGACTCTGCACACGTATGTATGTTTTTGGGCTATAGAATGTTACGTTTCTGTTACACAAATCAATTATTGCGTCGGTTCTTCGGTTCCCTTAAATGAATCACACTGTACCGTTAAGCCAGTCACGCATGTGCATGCAATATATTTTATTTACACAAATTTACACGCGCGTACAGCATTTGTTACGTCGCTAACAATCGATAATGGTAAATAACTATAGTCTACATATGCGGATAACCTACGTGTCAATCCTAAATATGCCCACACGCTTACACACTTTTTTTATAAGCCGGCTGTGCTGCCTATTTAAAGAAATTTACTATATTATTGACGCATGAAAACGATAAACTCGTGGGCAAAATTATGGAACTTAAACGAAAGTAATTTAACAATATCGTTTTCCGTTGCTCACAATCAGTCGAACCAAACAGGCCCTCTGTTCGTAACGCACAAGTAAAAACAAATAAATGAGATCACTATCCTTCAAATTGCAATGCTTGGACGCGTAAAGACGTTCTAATTCGTTGATTGATTTTCACAAAGAGAAATCGTGAATTAGATAAACGCTTCTTGAACGAAATTGGGTTAAAAATATAAAAACCAGTGTATATAACTAATTCCGAAAAAATTAGACGTTAACGCTTTATTTTCAGTATAAAAGGTTAAAGTTGAAATTTGTAAGTTATCTTCTACAGGTTAATAGGTAGCAATGGTTGCAAGTAAAACGTTTAAATTATTAGTTGAAAATTTTCAATTTCGCAGTAAGTAAATTTTTTTCATATTTAACTTTGAATTATATTTTACGTTTCGTAATTACTATTTATAATTACTAATTATATATACATATAAGTCAAAGTATACGTTTATTATATTATACCGTTTGCAACTTGTTTTAAAATAAAATGTGACTATTTGAAAACAAAGTTGTATGCTTATGTGAAATAAATAAAAAAATTTTTAATAATTAAGACCAGGTCGAATCATGAATGTACTCTCATCAATTTTTACTTCCGTTCCATGACCTGTTCTAATGTACTAAATAATAGGTTTCAACCTTGTATCTCCCACTCACTTATACTCAAATCCATCTCTATTTCAATAACTGACCAATCACAGCAATATCGAATTCAATACAGAAATGACATAACCGTGAGTATTATTTCATGAACCATCAGTCCAGACCAGGCCACATACACGATTACGCATAACCCTCTCACGTATTTTGTGTATCACGATATAGTGTTTGCTACATCGAATAAAACTTATGAATGGATTGAAACTGTTAATAATCTAATGTTATTGTTCACACCATCTTGAAAAGAAAAATAAAAAGAATTTCTATAATCAATCGCAAACAAATAAAAAAACAGCAATCTTTTTTTGAATTCACTATTTATCCATTCTCTACAATAACGTTCACAATGTAGAATAATGTTGAGAAAAAGATGAAAAATTAACACAGAATTCCAAACTATAATGAATAAGAAGTAATTTACTAGATTATTGCCAAATTTTATGTATTTAGAATTATTATATCACATAGAGTCAAATATGGAAAAAAAAATTATTCGTCAAATATTAAATCCAAAACTTCAAATTGATAACCAAAACCTTTTTCACTTGCAATTTAAAAATTACAATTTTCAAACCAATTTTTCTTTACTCAAAATTAAAAAGTTAATAATTGATTTGTTACATACTCGTTGTTTATATTTCAAACCCAATTTCGTCCAACACGCGTTCCCCCAAACTTTAACTTCTCCTTATTAGACGATTTATTATTTCTCTACTAGTAACTGGACCATATTATCCCGAATCGATCGAGCGAAATTGTTCAACTAATATCCTATAGGATACTTCTCGTTCATACACGTGCTCTTTTTTCGTATTTCGCGCTATTACAAGAGTTCTAATCATATAACAGAGGTAACAGATGAGCTTGCAAAGGTGTAGAGCTACTTGATTATATCGTCGTTTACGTCAAGTCATAATAGATACCGTCGTCTTTTTTTTAAACGTCTTTTTTATATTACACTATGTGTGTTTTCAAATTATTTATACAACTTCCAGAAAAACGTTAAAATAGAGAAAATAAATAAAAAAATTGCAAACTCGTTAATTGAAAAGTAATAATAAATAAATCATACAAGCGACTTTGTAATGTCATTGATGTGAGTTGCACTTCTGTTACCCTGGACGCGAATAGCACTCAGGAACTGTTTTTTATTAAAAGAGAGTTGAACCGGTAGTTAAAAAAACGATGAATGTTGTCATGTAAATCGAGTCAAGAGCTTGAATCGAGGCAGCCATGTCTTCCACGTAAGCTTCGTGGATTGTCGATATAGTGGCGATCTTTGCCGAAGTTGCACGAAGCCATGTGTGAAACTGCTTTGAATAACAACATACCATATTTACAAACACGGCCATGTAAGGCGGGTTCTTGGTTAATTACGTTTACCTCGTTGTACTTTCTTTCGATGTGACCTACGGTGCTCGAGACAAATATTCTCGCTTAACGACATTTTTCACACGCACATCGAAAGTAAATGAGGAAAAGAACGGCCGTTAAAGGAACACCGAAAGTTTTGACCCTGATCCATACTAAAAATTTCTCCTTCAAATTTAACACGGACGAAACCCACAAAATAATTTAATTTCACAGCTCGAGTGGTTCGTATACCGGCGGTAATTGTTCATCTTCAGAGTCGTAAAAATACGGTTTTCTTCTGTATACCACAGACCGTTGATCATTTTCCTCCTCTTCAGACATATCCAATTTGTCGAGATTCGCTTGAAGTCTCTTCACAGCCTCTTTTATTAAACCACCTTCTCTGAGCAATTCCTGTAAAAGCTCGTAAGGATCGTCTTCCGTAGAAGTGGATCTTTTATGATGATGACTTATGTGATGACGATGATCGTGAGTTCCGGCATTCTTCGTGCCACATACTTCACAACTGTTTGGATCTGCCCACGATCTCGATGGTATTTGATAAGGTGAGGGTCGATTTTTGTAACTGATACTCGACTTAGCTTTCAAGCTGGACAATCGAAGATTCTCTTTTATCTGTGATACAAGGAGGTCCACGTCGCGAGAGAGGAAATCCTGCTTCGTGTTAGGCACTACTTCAAATAAGTATGTTGTTTCTTCGGCGCTCGGCATGGCGTACTTTCCCCCGTTTGCCGGGTACGAGAACAAAAGGACAATGGCACGAACGTCGTGTTTACACCTCCACGTCTGTGATACGAGCGAGTAGAGGCTACAATAAAACCGCTCTCGATCAACGTGTTATGACTCTCTCTCACTCTGTCTCTTCTTTTCGAAGATACACACAAATGCTCTTCACTACACGTACAACGTTTTCAAATTCTATTTTTTTTAACAAAACACTTATTTGGCACAGTTAGACAGGTAATTAAAACTGTTCGATCAGTGTGCTTAGCGTTTCTCTGACTCTTCGTGCACGTTGATGTTTACGAACATATTTAAAAACGTTCGTGTAAACATAGATGGCCTAAACTACCAACCGCGTCTCATAATCGCATGAAACGCGTGATTCACTGGGTAAATACGCACCATCTATCCTTCCCCTTCTCTTGAACCTTTCCTTTTCTCGAATGTTGAACGAATCATCAAGTTTTGTTTCGTACTTTGTTTCAAAGAATTGAATGAATGCACTCACGTTAACACATACACCGGTTCATTATATACGGTACTCTGTTCAATGTATGCAAATACTTCTTTATTCCTTCTACATTTGATCGTGATTACTTCGGCAACATTGTTTCTTGATCTTATTACATTTCAATGTGAACGCACGTTGCACAATAATACACGTTTTGACGCAAGTCTGGCTCTGGCTCAGGCAGCGTGTACGTTGAGAAGCGAGAAATATACACACGCAGTAAATATTTCAACGAGTACTAACTAAGTAGTCCGAAAAACGTTGAACTTGAACGTTTCGTTTAATCGAAGCTTGTACACGTACGAATTAAAAGTACGACAACGTTCGTACGCCCAAGCGAGCGACCGCTCATCCGCCAGCCACAAACCTTCTACTCTCTTATTATTGTTTTGGTTCTGCGGCGCATGCGTATTTTCCCCCACGCTCGTGTAAACAAACCGTTAACTCGTGAGCTCAGGCGAATCGATAATACCTATGCCACTTCCTTGTTCCTCGGTCCCCTGCCCCTTCAGAAAACTATAGTGAAACGTAAGCTGAAACAACTTTACTCTAATCGTCATTGGATTTGTAACAAACATAAATTCTGATATGAATTAATTGAATAAGTCTACTTATATGTGAAAAGTGTTGTTACTTCAGAAGTACGTGTTTCAGCTTTGGACAAAATTCCAGGATCAGGGATTGCAGGGTAAAGGGAGAGAAACTGCAATCTACGGATCAAGGTTACACTCGAGCCCGTGTGTTAATCTACGTCATCCTTTGCCAAGTTTATCGTGCGTGCGCACACGCGCGTGTTCTCGATTTCTAGTTGCGATATATATGTTTACTATACACATTTATCTGGAACTAGCGAATTATTCATTGTCCTAACCTGCAAGACAACGTTACCTGTTGTATAGGTATTTCAAAGGACTTATTAACTAAATATTACGAAATTCTAAGAAAGGTTACTCTAATCGCATCACCATGTATGTGTACTTTCTTACGTAGATAATTGCCTAAAAATCTATGCCGTATCGTTGAGCTAGATAATATTGTATTACGATAAATATATCCATATATTGTTAGTGAATGCCATGTGCAATAAAGTTACATAATTTGTAATCGCTTATGTAATTTTTTTTTGTTTTAAATGTCAGTAATATGTATAAGATGTATTTATATACACGTATTATATGATAAAGGTATTATTAATATATTAACCATAAAATTATGTTTTATGGAAATAATGAGGAATAGATTAATTAAAATTTATAAACAGATAGTTTATTTCTTAATATTTGACATAAGTAAGAAATATTATTTTTAAATCTAAAATAAAATAGATTCTTGTTGATCTTAATATGAAATATTATACATTAATATGGAATACTTTTAAAACATTTTTGACTGTTGATGCTTCTTATATTTTAATATTAAATACCTGAAGGTATTTTTAATAGATATTATTATTTTTAAAAGTTAATATTGACAAAATTTTGTATATTCTTGCTTGGTTACAGTACGCATTGCATATTATAGCTCTAATAACCTGTAAAAATAAAGATAAATTCGCATTTATATGATTTCTATATATAATGTGTTTAAAATAAAATAGGACGATATTTTGTGCATATATACATTTTTATTCCTTTCGTACAACAAATTTATTTCTTCTGGGAATACATTGTAGTTATAGACAGTTAGATGTCGCCACTATAGATTTTGCACAAATCAGCTGATTGTAAAGAATGTAAAATATTCGTATTCATTCGGTTTCGTCCAAGTATCTTTTTCTTCAATTATTTTTACTGAAGAATTATCACGTTATAAATTTTAAATATAAAAACAAACGAAGTTTAGCACGACCTATCGTAACAACTATGTTTGGTCGTGTGTTTATGTTAAATTTTCGTAATATTTCGGTAGGTACAAAACACGTTTTCATATAAAGTTTCTATATTATAAAAATTATACAATAAGTAAAATGTTCCTCATCTATATGCTTAATGCATTGAAGCCAGATCATTAAATGTTCAGTTTTTATATTCGAAGAAATATGCAATTTCTTTTTATTTCCCATGCATAAAACATAATAAATAAATTAATTAAATCTACTAAGAATGAGAAAGATGAATAAAATGAAAGTTTTGCAGCTTTTATCACGGGTATGGAATGGACCCAACAGAGTATTGGCTGGAAAACAGGCTGAACAAAAAATGATATCAATTTTAAAAAATAAATTTCCTAATGCAAAGCTTATTGAAGTAAATGATGTATCAGGTAAAAAAGCCATGAGAAGGGCTTAAAACATTTATATTAAAACTAATTATCAGTATTATAAAATAATCTTTATAATATGTGTCATAAATTAAAAATAATTGATTAACTTTAGAGAACTTTTCATTTTTTTTTTAAATATGTAACTATTATAAGGTTAAAGAATTGTGTTATTCCCAATAAAATTATTATTTTATTTGTACAATTATTTAGATAATATTCTGTGGCAGTCAATTGCTGTAACTTGTATAGTCTGATACTCTTGCTAGTAGACTCTAAAGCAAATGCAACCAAATACACTGCTCGACTGCTCTTTGCTGTGCCATAAAAGGTCGACATGGTCCAATATCAGCACTGGTTACCAAAACAGAAACAACTAAGTTATGTATACAACTATATATCCTAGAAGGTGGGAAAGAAAAGAGACCGAGTAGAGTAGTTGATGACACTTTCTTTGGAGTATACTAGTGAAAGAATCGTCCTGTATATGTATTATGTGAAAGTAATTAAAAAAGGCAAATCGAAATAAGTAAAAACTAATCCAAAATAAATTCTGAATTGTTTTTTATTATAATATAATATATACTTTTGTTAATTTAAAAAAATATTTTTATAATTTATTTTTTAGGAGGATGTGGTGCAATGTTTGAAATAAACGTTGTTGCTGCCGAATTTAAAGGGCTGAACACTATTAAACAACATCGAATGATTAATGAAGTAAAAATCTTTAGAAAAGTATAAGAAACCTAGTATTTGTATTAACAACTTATACTTTTATCATAATTATTTTTGTAGGCGCTTAAAAAGGAGATTAAAGACATGCATGGTATACGAATATACACAAGCGTTCCTGAACCATAGATGATTTTTAATTTTCTGAAGATTCATTTTTTAAATCTACAGTTATATGTATAAAGCATACACAGACTTGCATATTTTGTATACATATTTATATATATGTACAGCTGAAATATTTGCTATACAATTATCAAATAAATAATAAATATTAACTAATATTTACAATAATGTGAATCATATATAGGTAAATGTACATTGAACAACTTAGCAACAAACCTGTATATACAATAAATAATTCAAGCAGTATTTCAATAAATATAAATATAATTTTAATATACATTTTATTCTTGTGTATAAGATTATCTGAATTTTTATTATTAAAAATCTATCCATAAGTAATTAAAGTATTCAAAATATGTTTCATAATAAATATTTAAATAAAATAATATCAATTTTATCATTTTTTACTTAACCTTCAACCAGATCATATAAGAAACTATATGTATATATATTAATAAATATGTAATATTTACTACATTATAATTTATTATTTAATAAATATTTAAAATTTTATGATATTTTATAAAGCAATGTCCTAAAGATTTTTACATAATTTCGATATCTATGTTACTTGTTTCAGTATCAGCAGTTTTTAATAAAGTTTCCAGTACGCACACGATTTACATAAATTTACAAAAAATACTTCTTAAACTTTCGTTACAACCCTAGATAAAAGTATTATGAAACACAATTTCCACTGTTTTCATCGTAATTTCGACCATTAGATTCTTTTTCAAAACAATAAAATCACGTGATCTAGTAAATTAATGTTTCTAACTTCTGTAAAGAACTCAAATTATTTGGTTTAATTTTGATAAAGTTATTGTTTTAAACAGTATAGTAATATTTTTTAATACTGTGTGTATTTATCTATACATGCATATATATAAGTATGTAAAACATTAAACACGAAATGCCTTTTCTTAAAATGACCTTTGGTATAACTTCAGTCAAATCGTAGACGTTATATACTGATAAATGTTCTTTTTGCTTGCAAGAAAGAATCATTTTAGATAAGAGCGGCATAAATTGTTAGTCAGAAATAACCGTTCAATCTGTAGTCTCATTTACCATGAATTGTTTAATTGGTGAAACTGATCAACTCATCAGTAATGATATGTTATTATGTACTGCTCCAAATCCTTCATCTGTCCGCGATAATCAAACTGGCCGATCAGGTATATTGTATTTATTGTTTTAAAATCTCGTAAATTAGCGTTACGATAACATGTTATTATGAATCTTTTTTTATAATAGTTGAAATAAAAGTAAAATTGTAACAGCAATTACAATTCTTTTTAAAAGAATATATATATATATATACAATTTTATAAAACATAACATAATAAAATTCTACAAAAATTATTTGTAATTTTTGCAGGAACAAATATATTAAGCACAATATTTTTAATTACCAATGCTACCCTAGGAGCAGGTCTTCTAAATTTTCCACAAGCATTTGACAAAGCTGGAGGAGTAGCTACTTCCATTATTACACAAGCTCTTTTCCTAATTTTTATCACTGCTGCGCTTATAATTTTAGCAAATTGTAGTGATGTTACAAATACTTCCAGCATGCAAAATATGTTTTTAAAATTTTATGGACAGAAATCATTTTATTTATGTGCGATATCTATTACGCTATATAGTTTTGGAACTTGTTTGACATTTTTAATTCTTATTGGTGATCAGTTTGATAGAGTTTTAGCAACATATTATGGATTCAATTATTGTCACACTTGGTAAGTAAAATTTATTTATATAATGTTGTGAATATATTTAATATTACAAATGTATTTAATATTTCAGGTATTTGTCAAGACCATTTATCACAGCTGTAATGTGTAGCATATTTATATTACCCTTATGTTTTTTTAAAAAACTAGATGTTTTAAGTTATGCTAGTTATGTTGGTTGTATAACTATTTTGTATGTAATATGGTTAATTGTTTATAAAAGTTTTACAAAAATTGGATCTCCTATTAATCCCATGAAAATATGGCCAGATGATAATTTTGAAATACTTCAAATAATTCCAATAATTTGCTTTGCCTATCAGGTATTGTATTTTAGTAATATAAAAATGTTAACAGCAACAATTATATATTAATTAATACTAAATATGTAATTACATTATTTCTAAACTTCATTTACAGAGTCACATGACAGCAATACCAATGTATGCTTGTATGAAAGATAGAAAGCTTGGAAAATTTACATTTTGTGCTGTAGTAAGTATGATGATTTGTTTTGTTGCTTACACAGTGGTTGGAATATGTGGATATGCAACATTTGGTAGTGGAAAAGTTCCTAGTGATATACTTCAAGGATATGCAGAGAAAAGTATACTTATTACATTAGCTATTATATTTATAGCAATTAAAAATTTTACCACCTACCCAATTGTACTGTATTGTGGCCGTGATGCTCTTTTAAGTCTTTTTAAAATGGATATTAATGTAAATATTAAATTCAGAATTTTCATAACATTGATTTGGTATATATTATCTTTGTTAATAGCAATAATAGTACCAGATATTTCACCAGTTATTAATGTATTAGGAACATTATCAGCTTTTTTTATTTTCGTTTTTCCAGGCATTTGTTTGTTTCAAAATATTCTTTTAAAAGATTCAGAATTACATCTAAATAAAGATCGCTTGCTAATATTTTTTGCCATTTTTATTACTGGACTTGGTGCATTTGTATCTGGTGTTATTTTTATAGAAGTTATAGAAGATCTAATTTCGGTACCAGACAAACCATCATTAGTAACTGGTTTTAGGCAGCTAAAAGAAAATTTGTGTAAATGATTTTTTTCTGAAACTTAATGTTTCAAAAGTTAGTGAAAAAAATCATCAAAGATTTAACAGTAAACTGCCAATATTGAAGTCAACAAAATGTGTAAAGTTTACAATAATGAACTGCTTAAAAATTTGCTCAACATATAATTTTAGATTAACATTATAACATATACTCTTATAGAATTTTAATGATAGTATTAAGTCAGAAAAGACTGATGCATGTACAAAGTCATTGCCATATCTGATGCATTGTGTCAGAAAATTTTTTAAAACTAAAATTTGTAATCTTTTATTTTTGTATTACATTTATGTATTTTGCAACAAAGAATACTAAATAAATAGAACTTTATATGATATTTTTTACAATTTTCTTATTTTCCTGTAGAAATATTATTTAATTATTAGAAATTGTTTCAAAGGTGTAGAAATGAGAAAATTGTAAGCCAACAGATGGAGAGAGAAAAAGAGAGAGTCTGAATTTATAAGTACAGCTTAAGATGAGTGTATATTAAGAATAATCATTAAAAGCCCTGTAACATAATTAATAAAAATGATTTAAATTTTAATTAATTTGTGTTATTAATATATGTAGGTATGTATTATTATTATTATTATTACATATATATATATATATATATATATAATATATATATACCAAACATTTATATATATATACACACATAATATATATATATATATACGTTTGACAAAGCTGGAGGAGTAGCTACTTCCATTATTACACAAGCTCTTTTCCTAATTTTTATCACTGCTGCGCTTATAATTTTAGCAAATTGTAGTGATGTTACAAATACTTCCAGCATGCAAAATATGTTTTTAAAATTTTATGGACAGAAATCATTTTATTTATGTGCGATATCTATTACGCTATATAGTTTTGGAACTTGTTTGACATTTTTAATTCTTATTGGTGATCAGTTTGATAGAGTTTTAGCAACATATTATGGATTCAATTATTGTCACACTTGGTAAGTAAAATTTATTTATATAATGTTGTGAATATATTTAATATTACAAATGTATTTAATATTTCAGGTATTTGTCAAGACCATTTATCACAGCTGTAATGTGTAGCATATTTATATTACCCTTATGTTTTTTTAAAAAACTAGATGTTTTAAGTTATGCTAGTTATGTTGGTTGTATAACTATTTTGTATGTAATATGGTTAATTGTTTATAAAAGTTTTACAAAAATTGGATCTCCTATTAATCCCATGAAAATATGGCCAGATGATAATTTTGAAATACTTCAAATAATTCCAATAATTTGCTTTGCCTATCAGGTATTGTATTTTAGTAATATAAAAATGTTAACAGCAACAATTATATATTAATTAATACTAAATATGTAATTACATTATTTCTAAACTTCATTTACAGAGTCACATGACAGCAATACCAATGTATGCTTGTATGAAAGATAGAAAGCTTGGAAAATTTACATTTTGTGCTGTAGTAAGTATGATGATTTGTTTTGTTGCTTACACAGTGGTTGGAATATGTGGATATGCAACATTTGGTAGTGGAAAAGTTCCTAGTGATATACTTCAAGGATATGCAGAGAAAAGTATACTTATTACATTAGCTATTATATTTATAGCAATTAAAAATTTTACCACCTACCCAATTGTACTGTATTGTGGCCGTGATGCTCTTTTAAGTCTTTTTAAAATGGATATTAATGTAAATATTAAATTCAGAATTTTCATAACATTGATTTGGTATATATTATCTTTGTTAATAGCAATAATAGTACCAGATATTTCACCAGTTATTAATGTATTAGGAACATTATCAGCTTTTTTTATTTTCGTTTTTCCAGGCATTTGTTTGTTTCAAAATATTCTTTTAAAAGATTCAGAATTACATCTAAATAAAGATCGCTTGCTAATATTTTTTGCCATTTTTATTACTGGACTTGGTGCATTTGTATCTGGTGTTATTTTTATAGAAGTTATAGAAGATCTAATTTCGGTACCAGACAAACCATCATTAGTAACTGGTTTTAGGCAGCTAAAAGAAAATTTGTGTAAATGATTTTTTTCTGAAACTTAATGTTTCAAAAGTTAGTGAAAAAAATCATCAAAGATTTAACAGTAAACTGCCAATATTGAAGTCAACAAAATGTGTAAAGTTTACAATAATGAACTGCTTAAAAATTTGCTCAACATATAATTTTAGATTAACATTATAACATATACTCTTATAGAATTTTAATGATAGTATTAAGTCAGAAAAGACTGATGCATGTACAAAGTCATTGCCATATCTGATGCATTGTGTCAGAAAATTTTTTAAAACTAAAATTTGTAATCTTTTATTTTTGTATTACATTTATGTATTTTGCAACAAAGAATACTAAATAAATAGAACTTTATATGATATTTTTTACAATTTTCTTATTTTCCTGTAGAAATATTATTTAATTATTAGAAATTGTTTCAAAGGTGTAGAAATGAGAAAATTGTAAGCCAACAGATGGAGAGAGAAAAAGAGAGAGTCTGAATTTATAAGTACAGCTTAAGATGAGTGTATATTAAGAATAATCATTAAAAGCCCTGTAACATAATTAATAAAAATGATTTAAATTTTAATTAATTTGTGTTATTAATATATGTAGGTATGTATTATTATTATTATTATTACATATATATATATATATATATATATAATATATATATACCAAACATTTATATATATATACACACATAATATATATATATATATACACACCAAACATTTATGTTCAATATGTAATGTCTTAAATTCTTTAACAACAAGAATCTATATTAATCTTTACAAGAATTTATTCATAAAATTAATTTCATAACAATCGTAATTTACAATTCATTTATAACATTCGCATCAAGATAATTCTTCAGATTGCTTCACAAATGTAGTTTCATCACTAAAATCGTGCAATATGTTACCGGAAAGATCTACAACTTTATCAATTGTCGCTTTACAGAAAAAACATTCTCTAGCATTTAGGAGATGCCGATCAATACAAATACGACATGTTTGATGATGACAGGGTTCAAATGTTGCTGCGATAGGATACGCATAACATATCGTGCAAGTATTGTCGTCATCACTTAATATTTTTGAATCTGGCAAAATAGCACGACATTTGTCTAAATATTCAATCATATCTTTAACTTTTTTTATTTCTTCCTTTGTTACATCATCTGGATCTACAACAAACATTATATATTTATTAAATATTTAAAATTTTGTTATAACTATATACTCACAGTTCGAGAAAGAGAACGGCTTTATGTTTTTTTCCGTTTTAAGTTTTGTATCTCCTAACATGAAGTAAAGAGAACTTATTTGAAAACTAGGTTCCATCAGTAAAGTTTGAGTAACTTTTGGTACCTCGGTTAATGATTTTGCTAATGAAATTTATTTTCTTTGAATTAAATTATCTATTATGTATGTTCTATTAATACTTCAATTAAAAGCAATACTTACATTTAAAATTAGATATATCGTCATTAAGTAGAGCCAATAAGATACCGGCAACCGCTGCCAGTATTGGAAAATGATCTACTGATTCTAAATCTGGAATTTCCAATAATACAATATGTTGGAAACAGCTAGTTTGTGAACTCATTCTATTTAACACTTGACACAGTAACTGTAAAAATAATTTAATATTAATAATAGAGTTCTAAATAAAGTATAAAAATATTAACGATATGAAAACACGTACTTGGCATAATCTAGACAATAAATTTTCACTGGAAAATTGTGATGGATTGTTAAAAATACTAGGGGTCACTGTAGCAATCATCTCTAACACTCTTAACAGTGAAATAGCCAAGTCAAAACATGTAGCACAAATTTTTAGTTGTCTAGATTCAATGAAGACTCTTTCAGGTCTTGATGAAACATTATGTATTTCTTGCACCATTCCAATAAATTCAGAAAACGCCCAATTCAACTGATTTAGCAAAGAATTTAAAAGTTTTGTTGTAGCTTGTGGATTCTTTAGTAGTACGTCCCTCACGTGGTTTTGGTATACAGCAGATGGACATGGTTCTAAAAATTTAAAATTATTAAGTTTTCTGGATATTTAATTTTTCAAATATTTATTGAGAACAATGATTACATACTTGCAGGTTGAGAAATTGATTCTTGTAAAAGTAATTTCGGTCCAACTTTTTTTGAGAGATGCGGACTTTTTTCATACCGAAAAGCAAAACCATTGCCTTGCCAGAATCTAACTAGAATCCAATTTGATTCAGCCCATGCTCTATTATCATATGATTTTAATAAATTCATGACAACTTTTATTCTACTTTCTTCCGGTACATTTTCTAAAATTTCCAAAGTAAGTGGATTGAATACGAATCCAGCTAGCGTTAAAAGTAGTGTGCTTTTTGAGTTTGCGTTCACTATACGAGAATCCATAAAGTGTACGCACAGAAATTCAGCTATATCTAAAAGCATTTCTCGATAATCTGGAATTTGTTCGATGCGTGCTGTTGGGTGCATATGGTTCCGTAAACCAACACATAAATCAGCTAATGCATCCAAGTAGTAATCAGGTACAAAGCTAAACATGTTTCCTTTTACGCTGGCATTTTTTAAAGTTAACGTGACTACTTTCAGAAGCCACGCTAGCTGTGATTGTTTTTCTTCCGAATAAACAGCAGCTCGAATCCATGCCATATGTCTTGCTTGTTCTGTTAATTTAATATTGAAGACATTTATTGTCCTTAATAGTTCTTGTTGAACTGATTGAGATGTAAGATCTTTCTTTTTCTTTGCTATTTCCAATCTCGCTTTAGTATCTTGAATAGCAGTGATATATTCTGTCATGCTATTTCTAAGAATGGCTACCTTTGCTAGCTGTTTTTTTGCCACTACGTGATAAAATAAAATAATGTTGTCGAGTAGCTCAAGCAAAGAGGTCATTGGATCTAAGGGGCCTAAGCGGAGCGGACTTCTATCTTCCCTTGTATATGGAAAATATCTTACATCAAAGGTCATTGAATTTCCTTGACCTGATGTATTTGTGGCAGTCATTCGAGCAAATGTTGGAATAACTATAGGTATATCCATCAGTCTTGTTCTGTTGTGAACATTGGACGAATCTTGAGTTTGATCCATTGTACTAATTACTTCGTGATTGGGTCCTAACAATTGTAGTAATTCATTCCTGAATGTTTTATTCAAATGAGACAAGACTCCACCCAGTCTCTCAGTTCTAGAGTAATCGATCGATGCGTCGTAGAACGCCCTGCCCATTCCAATTTATAAGGAAATGCTATTACGTAAATTAAATACGGCTCAATAATGCTTACAAATATACATAAAGCAACATTTATTGTTTATCCCTTGTTTGAAATTAATTAAAATGCACGTATCAATAACGATTAAAGAAATGGTAAATATATTTAATGGAATTTTACCTGCAAGGCACATAAACAGGAGATGTTCCTACTTCAGCATCCCACAGAATTCTGAATGCAACCAAAAGTCGATGGAAACAACATAACGTGATTGGTAAAGTCTGAAATATTAATTACTATTTGTAGAAATACTGTTTAAAAGTAAAATACTAATAAAATAATTCAAAATTCAAGAGAAAATTTGGTAATCTTTGTACTCACGCGACTCGATTCAAGATTTTCTTGAACAGAGCGTTTAAATTTCCTTAAGAATATCGTTCTGGATGCTGGCCTTTTTTCATTGCCATCAGAATTATCAAGCAGAGTCACTAATAATTCTACTTGCAATGTTTCTACTTCTACAAAATATGGATTGTAAGCATAATAACTTTGTGAAATTAACTTTTAAAGTATATCAAATTTATCATACCGGATATAGCAGTCTTAATTTTCTCGCAGGCATTCAAATAACTTAGTTTATTAACTTCAATTGTTGGTTCTACAGGGTTCATTTCCCACCACACATCATTAACTACATCAGTTAAACCTTCTTCGTCCAGTGGTTTCACATGCATAAAATTTGCAAACCTTACTCGATCAAAAAGTAAATATTGTAATAAATATTGACGTGTCAATGAATGTTGACAAACTTTTGTTAACAGATGCAAACTTTTACATTGATCAGGATATTCAAGTAGTAAAGAAACATGTCTGAATGTAGACAACAAGTACAGAACTGTACTTTCTAAACATGCTTTCATTTCATCTTCTTCAAGAAATGTCCATAACAAGTCTAAACAAGTTAACAATATAGGAGGATCCGCTTTTGATTCAGAAAGTCGTAGCATGAATGGAACTAAAATATATTCTGTAATATATGGAACAGTAACAAGTGGTCCAATATATTTTAAAACAGATCTTGAAAGACACATTAAATAGGCCTGAACACTCATATTTCCATCGTATAATACACTTTGATCATTCACAGTTTGTCTTGTATTTATTACCTCTGTTATTCTTAAAAACCAATTAAATAAAAGTGTAGCTTGAGCTATATGTTGCTTGGGAGCTGCTTGTAAAGGTTCATATCCTTCAATAGGATAGCGTATGGGCGTAGAACCAAAATTGGCTGTTAAATTTTCCGTCAGTGCAAGGCTTACTGTAGGAAAATATGCAAAACCAGCACCTATAGTTATATTTTCAAATGCTCGACCTAAGTTTCTGCCATTTCTATAAAAATCAATAGTTCCATTATCCATATCTATAGCACATCCAATAATATCTCCTGGAAGCCATGATTCTCCATATTTATGTGTAGCTACATTCCATTTTCTAACACGATTTCCATCATACGCATAAGAATTAATAGTGTCTCCTACAAAAAAAATACATTTGTTAAAACTGATATATTAGTGAATTATTAGTGTACCTATTATTAATTATAATGAAAATCTATATAAAATAGATCTTAATAACACATAACAAATAATTACAGAAATATTGTTAAAAAATTCATATGTGTATATTATATTAAAACATTTCTCTTACCAACTCCCAATTGCTGATTGAATTCGCATTTAGCAGTACTCCAACCTACTTGCATAACACCTTTAGATCCCAATTGTAATTCATACATCCACTTTCCCTTGTATACTGCTACATTTGCCTTCATTGTACTAAAGCTACTATGAGAGTTAATACTAAGTCTATCTGGGGAAATTATATAAACTCCTTGATGCGTTGATATATCAAATCTGACCAAATTTGGACCTATTCGACCAACTCTATTATCTTGCACATTTTCCGTTAGAGCATTTTCCCCCAGAGTAGCTTCAATATATTGGTCTATCAAGTTTAAACTATTTGATATTCTAAAATATAAACATATATTTTAAGAAATAATAATTAAAAATTATGGAAAGCAAATTATTTTAAATACCTTGAATGTTTTGCACTTCCTTTCTTAGGCTTTGTATCTGTGCTCCCTAAGAGCACATCAGATCCAAAAATTTTTTTCACAATTTCATTGATCTCCATATCCAAACACTTTTATCAGCAGTTAGCATTGAAAGCATTTACTATAAACAAATTTCAGAATTCATGAAACTTTACTACATAATTTGTTCACAGAATGAAATTAAAAGTAATGATTTTTATCTGTTGCTCAGTATTCTATTTTCAATGCAAGAAGTGTACTAATCAACATTGTTATTTTCCTGACACTTTCAATTTGCTATATAATCTGCAAACAGTACAATGAATTCAGATAATCGCCGCAAACTATGTCTTAGTTAGGAAATCAACGGCAGCATTTAAATCGTAATTAAATTTGGAGAAAAGCATTTAAACACAACTGTGATACTCGATATGGGAACTGACAAAATTATTTTTATTGTTAATAAACATGTATACGCGTGAAATGCATTAGCATTCCTACCGTTTCTTGAACGACATTTACATCAGCTGACATCAGCTGATCTTAACCGTGCTTGTGTATTTGTGTTGAGTATAAATATACCTTTCCCCACTATCCTTTTAACTTCTATTTGTTCTGGATGTAGTAATGCACAAAAAATTATACGCCGTGCCAAAACGTTTGTAGTACTTGTAGTAACATCAAAAATGTTTATAAATAATCGGTGATATTAAGATCCAAATTTTATGTTTATTTTCTCACATTTTCTGTTAGATTTACTGTTACTTTTTGGGGCTGATTCTGAAACATTTTTCACGCATCAATAGTTTCTATCCAAAGAAAGTGAACGACTGAACAAAACATGGTTTTTAAAACATTTGAAAAACGTACTAAAATAAATTTTGAATTACACACATTAATCATATTTTCGCTTTATTTGATGATTAAAAAAGATAGTCATTTTAATTGTTTGTATTATTTATTTCGTTTATAACAAGATTTAAATAATCCTAAAAAAATAAGAGAAAATTTGCGAACATACTGTTTCATATTTACGCTCACGTGTATAGATTTAAATCCTTGATTATTCAAACCGACATAGCATTCTGTCGTAAAAAAGGGAAATGAAAGTAAATACTTACCTTGAATAGATTTAGATACTAAATTAGGAATGCTGAGAATTATTGCATGAAACGGCCAATGCAGCCTGCAAGTTTCTTTATTGAAATTAATATTAGTAATCCTAACGGAAAATCGTCAAATTAAGCTTTCGCTTCTACTTAATGGGTTAAATTGACATAAAGATGTAACAAGATTAAATTACGCATTAAATTATACTGCATTCTCTCAAAAATAACAATTCGATACAGTAGAGTATACGAAAACGATGATAAAAATGTAACTCTCGTTGTGGTATATAAAAACGAACGCATTGTAGAAAATTGAAGCTTTAGCGTGTTCTTTCAACAAATATGATGCAATCAAAAAGAGGGCAATAATTCATTGGCTTTGGTATTTCTTATTGCGGTGGGTATAATGCGATAATATTTAGTACTAATATTTAATCAGTAACTATAAAGTGTATTAAGTTAGTCACCCTAACTGCATTCGCAATTCTTGTTACTTTGGGCTGGGATCATTTATGCCCATTTCGAACAACTTTATTTTTTTTTGTTCCGAGTATAATTATAGAATACTTGCATATCGGATTACTGTACGCATATTATTTAATCGAGTATAATTTTTTTTTAATGGGTTATAAGGAAAAAGGGGCATGAATACGTCGAGGTGTTACATCGTTTTCTTCCTATTTCGTTGAATTTTTTATAGCAGAATTATCAGTAAATACCTAAAGCTGACGTCGAATCATTAAATATTCGTGCATTATTGTACACTTATTACTCTCGAATAAATCGAACATCATTGTCGTATAGTTCTTAATAAAGATGTCTGTGACATGTTATAATGTCCAATAATAATAATAATAATAATAATAATAATAATAATAATAATAATATAATGTAATAATAATAATGATAATGATAATGATAGTAATAACCCCGACTTTGGGTACCGAACTCATCTCATTCATTCCTCCTAAGAAATAAATTTCTGGAAAAAGTTATTTTTAAAATTCATGCTCATTCATGTGCATTTCAAAGGAACATCGAACACGTTTGTTGCAAACTTCATACTGATACACCTTGAGAAGAAATATTCCTTGCAATAAATTACATATTGTCCAACGTACAAAATCTTTTTCTCCCTCTCTCACACACTTTCTTCCTCACTCTCACTCTCATGGTAAACAACTATTTAACTTCGAAATTGTAATTGTTTTTTCGATGTATTTTTTCGCTCACGCATCGTTTATCAATCGTCGCTCGATGACTAGAAACATCGTTTCGCGGGTCATTTGGTAAAAAAATTCTGCGAAAATGGAAAATAGTTGTAGAAAAAATAAACTCGGCCCGGAGACAGCATCGAACCTCGTATGTAGCGTATTAGCATTTTTAACTCAAACGTTATCATATCAAGGAACTATACTGTCCGGCTTTTCTTTCTTCTTGGATACAGTAATTAACACACTTTGTTTATGTCCTTGCAATTGGGCGGAGTATCTGGTCAATGGAAAGTCAATGGCAAATCTACGCGTCTGGAAATCTTACTCAAACACGCATGGATTGCTAAAAATAAATACATTTTTCGCTGCTACACCTCTTCGATACTTTGGCAGCAATTAATTCGATTGTTCAGCGCTCTGCGCTTGTTTTTCGATCTTTCTTGCGAGCTCTGGACTCATATGCGAATGAGGAAATGGCAGCACCGGCTTCCTGAGAATCGTCGGCTTCACCTTCACCTGTGGTTTGAACGAGGACACCTGACTGCCACGGCTTAGGTGCATATCTGCGAATTTCGCAACAACCTTAGGTGTCGAACGCGAAGGAAGCGGAGACCTTAAAGATATTGAGTCTGTGATTTGATTCGAACTAGTCGATCTGACCATTTCCTCGATCTCCTGTTCAGGTTCGTGTTCAGGTTCCACGCGTTTTAATTTTGGCACGTCCGGATTTGTTTTCGTATTCTTTTTCAAGGTGCATTGATTTTGTTTAGCAAATCGTTCTGCAGCCGTGCTCATATCAGGAGATTCGGGTCCACCCGTGGGTGACGTAGCTGCTTCGGCTCGTGATGGTTGATTTAAGTTTGGGCTTTCCTCGTCAGAACTGCTCAGACTACTTGATGAAACAGATTTTTTGCTAGCATCTTGCGCGGACAAAGGTAGATCCATCACAAGATCCGGTGTATGTTTTTGGCGCATTTCACGAAATTCTTGAGAAGTGCGGAATATCTTATGATTCGGTGGCGCAGGTGGATTTAATTGTGTTTGTGACGTTGCACGTCTTTGCCATAGTTCTCGATTTGCCGAAAATGTTGGTTGTTCTTGCGGTTCTTCTTCTTGGGTAACCGTACTGCTTGTTTGTAGAGAGTTTACTGTCTGCTGTAAAGTGTCTCCCATGCTTTGAGATTTCCAATGTTGTTTCCTACTGGTTCCACGTTTTGCTCCACTATCTAAATTCATCAAGGAGATTCGTTCCGCTTCTTCACCGCCAGCTTCTTCATTGCGTTGTTGTTGTTGTATCGATGACTCACTAAAATCCGACATCTTTTCATTTTCCACATTATTACTAATAATGACTGGTGCGGTGTCTGTACGAAGATCTGAAGTAAAGATGTGTTTTTCTTTTTCAGGCGTTGATACCTTTATCACTCGAGATCCACATTCCTGAAAGCAATTTAATGAGATAAATTGAATATAAATTATGACGAAGGAACTTGTAGAAAGCTTTTGAAATGAAATGTTCTAGTACATAATAAAGGGAAAGCTGGTGATGTTTTCCAAGTACCAACCATGTTTGTTGCAACGAAGTGCAAATTATTTTCTGTTGTTATGCACATGTAGTGCCCTGGAACTTCCCTTCAGATTGTTACTTTTAGTAAAAAACAAAGGATGATTATTTGAAGTTTATTAGACTTTGGAAATATCCAACTTGCATGAAGATTTATAGATTCCTATTTTTAATTTTCCGAGTGTAATGATTAAGAAGAGTTACTATAAAAATTGAATATTTTAAAAAGTATGTAATTAAATGTTAATAATGAATAAATATAGGAAATTTGTTATTTCCAAAAACGGGTGATAGAATACAGAGAAGTATTGAAAAAATTCACCTGGAGCATGGCGAATAATTAACCCGTGTGAAATAATCTGTAAGCTCTAATTTGTATAGGATACAAAAATGAACAGACGATTAAGATTTAGATTTGCATGCATTAATATGGAAACAAGGACTGAATATACATAAATGCACAAGATTGATATTCAAGCCAGGGAGAGATTAAAAACTGCTCGTAAAATTGACAATGAACAGGATGAATATAAGCAGGCAAATATGTAAATATGACAATAACTATACATTTGATACCTATCTCTCTACAGATGCCAACGATGAAGTTAATATTAACTGGTCTGGGGGTGAGATGTATTTTTACTCACCTAGGCCAAAAGAATATCCACTGCTTAAGTAGGCTCTGCGAGTAGCATTCCTTTTTGGTTTCATCTATAGACTGAAATTGTTTTACAGAATACTAGGATTCACAAACCAATCGAACTGTTAAAAACAGATGCACTCCTTCAATGAAACGAAAAATACAAACGATAGAACCACACAACACTGGCGGCAATTTTATCGAACAGTTTTTAGTCCGTTTCACCCACTACCTATTTACGTGAAACTTTTCTTGTCAACTAAAGGCTGATTAAACGTATATCTGGAAAAACCATCCCAACTATTAACATCGAAACTCGTAATCAATACACAACAGAAAAAATGACGCAAGACTTAAAGGACACAGGCGGCACAAGACAAAGGGACAGAGGCACATGCAGCAACAAACATGTATATTTCTATTTTATTTACAAAAAAACATATCATACAAATTATTACAGTTAATTGAGATACAACTATCTCAATGTAAATTTAACTTAACATAGCCTTAGTGTCGTCTCCTGCCATTTGGTGAAAATAAGTTCGTGGAATCATAAAATCACAGATTATAGTCCAACAAAATTTATGTAAAAGATAAAAAATAACATGTTTTGGAAATATAGAAAAAGTTAAAATAACAGTCGTTCTCACGTATAAGATTGTCATTGTTCAAATTATTGCTGATTTATATTTGACTTTGATTCAAATAAATAAAAAAGGTTCGTTTGTAATAATAGATTTTAGTCCCATAAAATAAGCGATGCTGATTTCTATTAGGCATGGTGTACAGGCAACGAATCTGTGCCTTAAATGGCAATGTGCATTCTAATTTCTCATTGCTTTTTCACTTAAATAAAAAAAATAATAGCACAATACCCATGCACTTGTGCTATGAAATTTAAACCTTTTCAGTGCGTCGCAGAAGATGTACAAGCAGACAAATGTATGAAAAGAAAAGTCGGATAAGGTATTTATACTAAACGGTAGTTTCCAATACCTCTCGGCTGATGATTGGTTGCGCCGAAGAGATGCAAGGAACATTTGTCACAATCGTTGAGATCACACCGCTGTTACTGATATTGTCTGTTGCAATTATATTCGTGGTAGCCGGTGTGTCGGATGTGGTACTAGAGGACCAAGTAGTCGGATTGCCAGACGGTCCCATGAGTGGTGAATTGTTACTCGACAGAATACTATCAGCAGAACTGGAAGTTCTTCTTCGCATTGATTCTTCACTCGACGATTTTAGAAGTTCTTTTTCACGTTCTTCATCCCTGGACAAATAAATATCAAACTTTTTATAATACAGAAACGGTTGATGAAGTACGGTTTATTTATAAGAAAAAGCGTCAACACTTTTATAAAGAAGCTTCAATGTTTTACGTTAAAAAAGCTGTAATTAAAATTCTAATCTATAATAAGGCCTTAGAAAAATCTCTCTGCAGTAAATCTCTTTATTCAACAACATATTTGAATGTAATTATTACAGTAATAGAAACTGTAATTATTGCAGGCACCGTACAATATTATAATTGTACATAGTACATAGTATAATTGTACTCAGTTATAGAAATAACATATAATTTATTCATGTTAGTATAATCAAAATGCTTAAATATTTTTATGTTTTTGTCTTACTAGTAAGGCTTACGAGTAAGCCTTATGTATTGCTTGAATTATTAAATTGGATTGTAAACATTTTATGTCGTAGAGAGATTTTATTCATACACTGTAGTGAGATATTTTCATTTTTATGTTTTATATTTAGTTATTTTCGCAAGCAAATTATTTGCTTATAAATACTACTAGATTAAAATGTTATGTCCCAATGAAATATATGTACATTTTCTAGCTGTATATTTTAATAAAAAAATAGGTACATAGTAACTTGTATTTTTTACCCACCTTAAAGTTACGAATGTTTAAAATAGCAAAATAAATGATATTAAAAATAAAGCATTGTCGTCTAACGATTCCAAGTACCATAATAATATTGGTACATGCATTTTTATATTTATTGTTAAGATTCAAGGTATACATACATTTTATTAAGACATTTTGCAGAATAGAATGTGAAAAGCAGTAAACAATGGAAGGGATCATACAGGGAAAACGGTTTACTCCTTAGAAGTAATTATATTAAAGAAGTATTTTACGTGAAACCTAAACATTTTTTTGTTTTGATGTAGCAAAAATTTAGATTGATTGAAATTTTGTTCCCTTTGGATTATTAAATTCAGCCACTAGTTAAATAGCAGGCATTCTTTGAAAGAAATAATTCACCACTGCAAGTGATTAAATCACACTTACTTTATCTTGATCATAATATATTTATCAGGAATAAGCCCTTCTCTACCAGCCAAGGCACCTCGCCACCAATCATTACTGACTTGTGTGTATAGAGTTAAGGTATCCCCTTTTTTGAAGCTTAACTCTCTTTCGGACCTTGCATTGAAATCGAATTGCGCTGTGGCTTCGAGGTTTTCCGATTCTGGGAATACACAAAACGTACGTAGATCCCGCTCTGTTGATGGATTCTGAGCGATAAATTAAATTTTATTATCTCACTCACCATCCTCGGATGGATACACTTCGGAATCCATGTCTTCCTGGACCTGATCCGTCGGCGAATCTCCTACGTCTCTGTATTAAAAATTTTCTTTGATCAGTAACTATACGTTAGTAAACGATAAAATTAAGCTTTTCAAATGTACTTACACGTCATCTGGTTCTCTACTGATGTATTTTTCGTACTGAGTACCTCCAATATCTTCTGGGAATATTTCTTCACAGAACGTAATGATGTTTTTGATCAGTTCGTTTACTTGATTTTGGTATTGCACCTGATCTTTGTCCTCAGGAACAGGTACCAGAGTGGGACCAAAACAAATAGCTAAATTGTAGGGGTCCATCATGTTTTCGTCCGAAAATTCTGAAAGGCTATTTTACAACAAAGAAAAAAATAAATATTATAGAATATTAAAAATTCCGTTCTATTACATAACAATAGAATTGTACGTAAAATGGTTTCAAAGAGGGAACAACACAGTGACGTTCGAATACGTGTAGTTTTTTATGAGTAACATATAATCATCGAATTGTTACTGATAATGTATACATATGCACATATTTTGTACATGAGTAATAGTAGTTTTAGAGCAATGCGCATTCAATAGAACTTAATTTCTTGATTCATTTGTAGAATTAGGTCATGTTTGAAATTTATATTAGCATTGTTTCACTTATGTATTCGAAAATATAGTTATTAATAACTTTGGAAAAAGAAATAAACATTATTACTTTTAACTTTTCATAACTGAATACATTTTAATTCAGAATAAATGTGTATAAATAGAAGCTGCTTCCCTTAAAATTTGCGTAGAAAATGGTACAATCAGTTCGAGAAACATTTTCTCGAGCTTGATGTTTCAAATTTTTTTATATTTCGCTTATCAATAAAAAATTATTTCTGATTGTTGTATACTATAAATCCAAATTCCAATTTTTAAGCCACGGGCAGTATCTAAATAAGATGTCATTGCTATTATCAAATACACCAAATTGTTAAATGAGTTGCTATTTAGTATAATAGATAATGGTATTAAGTAGCAATGTGTTAAGAATTCATTTACTTTTTTTGTACATATCCATTCAAACAATATTTTAATAACATTATTTTGTATATTCAACGCGAGTTAGCATTATGTACCGATTCATATAGGAATCAATTTTTGTGTTCATATTCATACTATTTAGGCAAGCGCTCCTCCATATTAGCACTTAATATTTTAGAAATATAGTTTTGAAGCGCTTATTTCAAAATTATAGAAAAAAAATTTTTTCGAATTGACATCGGATTGTTCTCGTCAGGTAATTTCCATTAAATAATCTAAAATTTGGGATTGTTGTAAATACTAGGATACTAAATTTTCATTTGAAAGAAATATTGATGCTTACTGATTAAGGAAGGCGAAGAGATATCGCATTACAATGACGACTGGTCTTGGAAGACTTGAAATTAGTTCCTTCATCTTATTAACGAACTCCTGTTTCGATTCTAATTGTGCTAATTCCATTAAATGTTCAAAATAAATAATTGGAAAAAGTGGTTCTCTCAATTCTCTCAAATAAAGCTTCAAAACACCAGCAACACTATTAATGTCTGACGCATCCGTAACATCAGCCAAAGGATCTTCTCCTCGCTCGAACCATTCACGGAAGTTGTTGATCTCCACCTGGGATCCCGAGACACGAAAGATACCCTGATGATGAAGACCATATAGATTGATTACTCTGATGCAGCTCTTCATAATTAAAGGTATCTCTTGATTTGTGCTTTCTAAATATTCTTCTAATGAGCCGCCAAATAATTTTGGTTGACCATTCATCTGCAATCTACCAATTCGTTTTCTTCGGGCCTGTTTCTGTTTCGTTGCCGACATTGACGGGTTTGGGCTAGCAGTGGAGCCATCTAATAGGCTCTGTCGAATATATTCTTGCTTTGCATCTAACCTAGCTATTCTTGAGGTGCCAAGAAGGTATTCCCTGAATTTCTGTAAAATTTCAATAAACAGTATACTTCAACTTGATTATATGTATATTACAGTACACTGATAATAATTAATATTAGCTTGTAATTTTGTAAATCCCACAAAAATTGATAACAGCACATTTAATTTTTCTTAGTTGCAAAGAAAATATCCTAAAGGCAATTTATTTTTAAATTTTGCTAGTGAAATAAATTTTTTAACTTATTTCATGCCAGTTGAAATTTTAAAAATATTTAAATGAGTTAGTGAAATTAGTTTCATTTATGTGAGCTTGACGCGTTGAATACAATAGTAATCTTATTTTTAATCCTATATGTAAAGATTTATTCTAATTTAATTTTGAATATGGAATTGTGAGTACGTACGGTTTAACTGAAAATGGTAGAGTATCTCACAGTAAGTTAAAATTATTAAAAAAATACTATAAAAGTTATTTATATTGCACAGTGCAAATAACATTTTGTAAGTATAATAATAATAGAGAGAATGTCAAAATTAAATTAATGAAATAAAATTGGTTAGTTAACAGTCCTGCATTCTAGTTATAAAATACTACTACTTAAAACTCACCGTGAGGTAGAATTCTTCAGTTTCTTGTCTGTCGGCTCTAAGCTTGATCTGCACAGTTTCTGGAGGTCTAGATGTGGGTACAGCGTTCTCTCCAAAATATCTAGAGCAATCGTAATCTTTCGCAGTTAGCATTTCTAACAGACTAGCTTCTGCAGTTTCTAAAGTTTTCCACACTTCCTCAGATTCGGTCCTCAAAGACATTACTCTTTGCTGTAGTTGCGTCAATCGTTGTTCCATCTCAGCGTGTAACAACTTTTGCAATTCGGGTTCCGGAGTCTGGACAGTCCGATAAATTTTATGAAGTTTGTATGTATATTGCTACTTATTATAATATTTTAATATGTGTTTTAACAGTAAATCGTAGTAATCAATTTTTGCATTAAAGTACCTCGTCTCCTCGTTGTCCTTGGAACTCGAATTTTTTCGGTATCATGAAAGCAGAATGATGGGATTCTAGAAACCTTTGTTTATCTGCCCTCGAGTCTAAAGCACCGACACAGGCAGCCAATTGTTCAGCACCTGATTGCAAGGAACGTTGCCTACCCTCTTCTGCGCTGCAGTGCATTAGCAACGCTCTGGCAATGCAATTGTGAAAGCCAAAATCCATGCACTGGAAAAATGACACCAAAGATTATAGACGATTTTACAAGATATCGATGGTATCATGAAAGTTAAAAATACGCGAGTTAGATATAAAAGTAAATTACAGTGAACAAATTTAGAAGAATCTTTTAATTATTTATGTACAAGTTAGAATTAGATTAAAAGGTTTTTGATGTTTGCATACCTATAACATTCACATACTACATGCAGAACCAGGAAACTAGGTGGCCAAATTTTGGTAACATACTTTATTTTTTGTAAAGATAGAAAAAATTCTGAAGACTCTTTCTGAATTACGAATATTTTCTATTTGTATCAAGCTGTAAACATTTCGTAATATGAATAGCTCTTGTCATTTTGGTCTTTATTAGAAGTCAATAATGTAATAAAGTAGGTTCTCTTAATATTGCAAAGAACATGTATTGTTGCGCGGAGAATTTTTATTCGTTTTTAGATGCTTTTTCGAGTAAGTTTCAAGCATTTTTTCAACGCAGAATTTTCAACGATGAATGATGTTATGACTGTTTTAAATCGTCATACCACCTCCAACCTCTTAACAAAGAAGAGCTGCTAGTTATCATCAGATGTATAAGTCAATGAGTGATTGTTTGGAGCAACGATCACCAAAGGCGATTAACACTTTCAGGTGACTCAACCGATTCAGTGACCTACTATCAAGTCACGTGTACGGTATCAAGAAGCCAGATTAGTGCTGTTTCAAGTTGCCCTCAAACTAGTGCAACTTAGTTCATAGATATGCCTATCTTGACGTTAAATTGTTCTACTCTGTTTCAACAAGCAACATAATAACTGTTAAGCCAATTTTTTATGAAATTTTGAAGAAATAATTACTAAAATTGATTAATTTATGACTGAAACAATCAATACTAAAAAACTTATTATACACAAATTAAAATTCTCTAATTATCTAAGGAGAGATATTCAGTTATAAGGAAGGTAGTATTAATGAAACTTACATCAATGAGATCCGAAAGATCGTCCACAAAATATTTGTGTATTGTCGTATTTGATGCTTCGAGACACAAAATGTATTCGTTTCTTGCTTTCAACGCTTTCAGCTTCGCTTCCTGATATTTGCTCTTTCTCTAAAGGAAACAAAAAATCAATAATTTGCATCAATATTCAATTTAATCGTAGAATTTAATTGAAAATTTTCAAATCACATGCATAAAAAAATGATATGTATATATGTACAGGTATATTTGTAAGGACGATCAATGAGTTAGCGCCAAGTTATTTTAAACACATAAATGTTTCTAATATAATTTTCTTGAACTACATGGATACTATAAGCTTCGAAACTTAATAGTAACTAGAAAAGAATAATGTCATCGGAAACAGTATTAATTACAGGATGCTCAAATTTAATAATTCCAACTGAATTATAAAGGAATCATTAACGACTAAGGTACATTAATTGATTTCCAGACAATAACCGCTTGGCATCGAAAAGCCTATTAATAGACTTCCGGTTGGTGAAGTGGTAAGGTTCGAAGCATGCAAGTGATAGATCAACAGGGTTCTAAAATTGACGGAACGCCGTGATACTTGGACGTGAGATGAATGAAACCGTGCTTTATTCAACGAGACCTCTGTTCACGTGTTTTCAGCGGCGAGAGCTTTCGTGACGGAAATCGATACTTCGTGTCTTGAAGTACACTCGACCCTTCCAGGGTCAGCCAACAGAGTTGAATCGAAACATCAGAACACGGTTTACACTCAAGAATAACCTTGATGTTTCATTCTACCTTGTTCACTTCCTTCTCGATTAACTTGTACTTCTTGCTGCGTGCTAGCTTTTCGGGTGGGGCATTTGCCACTTCGAGTTTGCTACGCTGTTGTTCAGCAACCCGAAGCTTTGTTTCCGCTTGCCGGGATTCTGCCTGATAAGCTTGATAGGTTTTCATCGTTGTGTGCAATTCGTGCAATACCCGGAGGATCTCTTCGTGCGTCTCATATCCTATCTCACGGCACTAAAACAAAAACCAACCTGTATAAAAGATAATGTTAGGGAAAGACAGGCAAAGGATAATATCGGATATTTTTGTGTCTTTAGTAGTAAACCGTAAACGGTGTAGAAAAACAAATGACAAGCCTTACTTCAGAAGTAAAAATAATTAATAAATCTATTATTAAACGGTCAATTCTTGTATATTTATACGTTATTTTTATCTTGAAAATGAGTTCAATGATTTTTGTGACAGTAATCATTAAGTTAGATTTTTCTGTTTAGGAATTGTGCCACCGATAATTCTTCCCTGAATCCAAAACTTTTTGGTTCTCCATTTTTCAACATTCGAAATTCAAATTATCAGGTTTACTGTGGTCGATATAAATATAAATATTATATGTATATAGGAATCATGCCAACCTATGAATCTAAGAATATATGAACAGAGTCCACAGCTCATTTATAAAGAAATATATGGATGGAGCTTAAACTTGATAGTGATAGCTTAACAGCTTGACCATTTTATGTTTTATATATTTTCTCTTTCAGCATCATAAATTTCTCGATATTTTAATGCTTGCTATCCCGCCAATTATTAGTTATTCACTATAATTTCTTCCTTTTCGATAGACAGGCATGATCTCCTCTAAGATAAGAGTTTGTGCCTTGATGAAAAGATAGAAAGGTTTTGTCTTTTTGATTGTTTGATTCGCTGGATATCTTAGCAAGATAGAAACAGAGGAATCTGCAGCCAATTTAAAATATTTTTGTAATTTCTGTGAATTATATTTTTTTATTCATTCCGTCTTATAAATATAATTTTTTTCAACGCATATATATATAATACATATACTACCGTTCAAAAGTATCCGAACATTTGCTTTTGTTACATAAAACATAGTTGAACTTTGTACGAAAGGTATTTAGGGCTATTATATCATTTGTAATAATTATTATTATTTTTTTTGAGGTATCATAACGTAATAGAATTAATTTTTAAGTACAAATTATACAATGAGAGTACGGAAGTAAAATACCTGTCCAGAAGTACGATATCTAATGGAACGCTTTCGATGCTAAAAAGAGTCTCAATTTCTACTTTGTTTCATTTCCATGGTGTAGAACGAATTCAGAGAGTTCTTCGATATGTTTTAAGTGTTTGCAAATTGTTGATGAGATGTTTAGGTTCTCTGAATGGAGATAAGAATGGAGGTAACGCTATGCACTCGACAGTTTCGATTTAGTTCGTCTGTAGCTTCTTTTCCATCGAGACATGAGTTTCAAACGAGAATTATTAATCGAAAAACGTTCCAGTATTCTGACTCTTGCAGAATAAAAATCGATTTTAGTTACTGTTGGAAATATTGAAATAACTTTTATGCAACGCGAATGCATATTTCGCATGTGTCCGGATACTTTTGAGCGGTAGTGTGTTACCTGTAACGCTACTCACGATTTTTCTCCCACTTGAAGCCACCTTACGAAAAAAAGTTTAGAACAATATTTGCAGGGTATGAAGTGCACAATAGATATTAGTAAAGCAAATTTTGAAAACAGCTTTTTCTCTTGGCAAAGTCAAGGTCACCTTGGGTTTTTTAAATAGGAACATACATTTTTTTTTATTCATATCGTTAGAGGACATCGAGACGAATTCAAAACATATATTACATGATATTTTTATTAACATATTACTCGATTTACAGAAGTGGAAATGTGAAGTA